GGCAATAATTCCCAGCTTTTTGTGGGATTTTATTCTATTGTTTATCTGATTTCCCAAGATTATGTCTGTCTTCTAAAGTTCTGAATGGTGTACATATGCACATGCGCGCGCGCGCGCGCACACACACACACACCCTATGATATTTTTGTCATAAGAAAACTAGGCCCAAAAATGGTTTGTTTGTCCAAGCCCCACTGCTAGTTTGTGTTTTGGATAAATGAAGTGTATAGGAGTAACTTCTTAGTGGAGGGAGGTAGCTACAAATGCGGGGGGGGGCGGGGGGGGGGTAAGGCTATTAGAAATTGCTTTACATACAAAAAAGTCTTGGCAAGAAGTAGTCTTTTTAAATTGGGTTTTGATGCTCATATTCTTCCTAATTATAGACCTGATTTTGAACATTTGTGATAACTTCCTCCTAAAAATAAGCATTTTGCTGAAGCTTAAAATTTCTTGAAAGCTCCAATTTTGAGAAGTTTTTCAATTATGTGGTTTAGACCAGTGGTTCCCAATGTGGGGCCCCACAGGGGGGGCAATTTGATTTTAAAAGGGGGGGAGGAATTTGAGAATGAATTATTAACAGTGAATTTTCTGCATTTCTTATGGTGCTAGGGGCTTCATAAACAGTATATAAATATATATTGTGACATTTATGCATTTCAGTTCTCTATTATATGTTTTGAAACTTTATTTGCAATTTTTTCATATCACTTCATATTATTATATTTTTTTTAACAATTTCTTAGTGATTTCTTCCTCAGTACTTCAACTGTCCTTTTGTTCTTTTATTTTTCTCTTTCATGAATGCCATGTTCTTTGGAAGCTTGTTTAGACCAAATTATGGCCTTGCAGGCTTCCTCCATGTGAATAGGAGTTCACTTTTTGAATAATAATTATATGTGGGGGGGGGGTGGTGTCAGGATTTTGGAGATGCTTAGGTGGGACATGGCCAAAAAAAGGTTGGGAACCACTGGTTTAGACAGAAATTTCTCACTTTGTCATGAGGAGTTTGCTTAAAATTTTGTGAGGTCACATGATATAACAAGATAGCCTTAGATGTTTCAAAACCAAGTTTTTAAACCTCTGTTTAGAAGTTGGGGAGGAGGGCCATAATTCTGAAGAGCTATATATAAGTTCTCCACTCCTCAGAAATCAGGCACCCTAGATTTCTTGTGTAGTGCAAGAGAGTGGGATGGGAGTCACTGGGTCTTAGCTCCTGCAGCTACTGAAGAAGATACTAGCACCAAGCCCAAACATGCCTACTCCCTCCCCTGTCTCCGCCTTGTAAGCAGTTAAAACTTCCTACACTCATTCCACTTACATTTACTGGGTGCCAGGTGCGGCGCTAGTCACTGAACAGCTCCACCCAAACAAAAATTCCCTATCCCTATGGTGATTTAAATTGTAATGACAAAGACAGGTAATAAAATAGATACTGTGGGTGAACATTTTAAGTGCTATGGAAAAAACATAAATGTAGAGTGGTAAATGTGAACTCTACTGGAGTCCCAGGAGTGGGGGAAAGGAATGAGCTGCCATTCTGCATAGGGGGTTAGAGCACACCTGGAGAAGGTGAGTAAGCTATGTGGGTATCTGAGCCTAGACCTTGTAAAGCCCTCAGGTGGGAGGAGTGTGCCTGGTGAACTCACGGAATAGCCGAGAGTAGGAGAAAGGAGGCTCGCAAAGTAACGAGAGGAGGGGGAAAGGTATAGAGCCCTTATAAGGATTTAAAAAAACAACAGACTAATGGGAAACCTTCAGTAGCTTTAAAAAAAAAAAAAAACCTTAAAAAAATGGAAACATAAAAGTAAAGAAAATAATATGGTGAACTCATCACATGGGTACTCATCACCCAATTTTTGTTTCATCTGTACCCTCCTTCGCTGCCTCCCCTTGCTCTGGCAAACCCACACTAGAATGTTGAAGTCAGTGCCAGACAGCATATCATTTCAAATTCGGGGCTCAGTTTCTTTTGAAGCTTTTTCCTTTTGCATCCTTCTTTCAGCTTTCGTCATTCCCTCTCTCCTCTGCCCACCAGAGTTGTCCTCTAGCTGCTGGACTCCCTTTTTCCTCACCTTCAGTGCTCGCGCTGGAACCACTCTGCCCCCATTCCCTGAGCACGGGTCCCACATAGCAAACACTTCAGATGCAGTTGGCAGCTGACTCATGCCACCACGCCCCTTTGAGTGCCCCTTCCCTTGCCCCTGCCATTTGCTTCAGGTAACTCACCCACCCCTAGTTCTGGGTGGTCAGAAGTTGCCCAGGAAAGACTTTCCTTTTGCTGATTGTTTCAGTAGAGCGGATATCTGCCCTCTTACAACCAGATTCTGGTTCCTTTCATGGAGAATCCAGCAAACATGGTAACTTGGCTCCAGCTATTATGTCCTAAGCCTGGCTGTTGGCTGGAGTCTGGACTGGTGTGGTTTAAGGGAAGGCAGCCCCCTTTCCTAAGGACTGGTGGAGTGGAGTTTGGGGAGTGGAGCAGCCCCTTGCTGTCTTCTGCCTCCCACATTCTCTGACTTTAGAGATGCTGCTTTAAAAGAATATTAATTGTTTCAGTTGCATGAAGGGCTCCATTTATGCTTGATTACCATACAGTATGATAAAAATTGAGCATAACATGAAATGTCAGCTTAACTTTATTATAAAGTCCATTTCATTTCAGTACTAAGCTCTGTTCCTCAATCCATAGTATTAATAATTTGCAATGTCTGTATCTTCATTATTATTAAACATAAAAAATTTAGGACTTCTTGATCACCATCCATCTGGTTAGTAATCTGTTCTAGTAAAAGTAACCTAAATTAACTGGTCTGAAATAGCATTAGATCTTTTATCCCTTTTTGAAAATTAGGATGTTCGCTCATCTCAAGGACTGTAACATGATTTGTGATTACATCTGCAGTTTCTTTTATTTTTAAGTCTCAGCAATATCATTCATCTTAGTCTAGGATGGTGAACTCCTTTCAAATACAGGTTTTCTCTTTCTATCTTTTCACCTATCTTGGGCTTAATTTCCCTCTCAAGCATGTTCAGTCCTTTCCAGGGTGAAGATAATTCTCCTTGATAGGGAACGTGGAAGCAAAAGTGTGATAACATCACATTATCAACCCCAAGTATAGCTGAACTCTTTTCTTTCACTTTTGTTTTCCTCCCTGCCCCCAAAAATCCTTTGAAATGTTTTTCATAAATGTCAGCATACTTTGATCTTCCTGATATTATTTTTCCATGTCCAGCCCATTCTTACATTTTTGTCTACGAAGGACCTGTTTGTTTTTGTTTTGTTGTTTTGTAAAACTCATTACTGATTTCCATTTGCACCTTCACTCCTGTTTTTTATTGTCTTATATGGTCAGATTTTCCATTTTGAACAGTTCCTCCACCTCCATTTTCACTCATAGAATGATGTCCCCCTTTTTTTAAATTATAAAAAACATTTATTTGAACAAAAAGGAGCTGTAGCCTGGGAGACACAGATTCAGGTAGCAGCCTAAATTGTGTTCTTTGATGTCTTTCAAAGTCTATGGATGTGAGGTGATTTCTGGCCTGTTTCTGTGCTCTTTGAAATATGCTTCCTCAAAGCCAGGGCCTGTGCTTAGGCCATACCATTTCTTCTTGGCCTCTTGTGCAATTGGCAGTTGCTCTCTACTGATGTTTTGGGAAAAGAGTTCCCTTCTTTGACTTTCTAAAAAGCAATTATTTATCAGGACAATTAAAAAGCACATTGGACATTCTGGATTTTAGCAGAGTGGGAACTCCAGCAACTTATGGAGAGCTGAAACCCCCTGTCTGGCTGTGTCAGTTTCTTGTTTGGAAAAATATCAGCTACCTCTTCCACCTGGCTGGGTAGTGCTGTGCTGCACACATGTGGCAGTATTTCTAATTCTTTTTCTGTTCCTCTTTACCCCAAGTGCCTGGTGGTTTAACATTTACTTTGTCAACCTATAAGAATGTAACTTGGGATCTCTGAGAACTCAGTAGAATCTTGATTTACTGCTAGCAAAGCAGTAAAAAGGAAAGAATAGGTCAGTTAGAAGAGAAGCTGGCCTATATGACAACTTTGTTTTATAAAGACAAAGTCAGTCTCATTAAGAAAGGAGTAGTATTCTTCCATGAAGTACAGATAGTAAACACCTTTTCTGATTTGCACTGAAGTATATTTGTGGGTACGGGGACGGGGAAGTGACAGGTTGGAGGGAGAAGTGCCGGGTTTGGGCTGGAGTCACATTGACTTGGGTTGCATACTCAAGCCTACAGTTAGCTCTGTGACCTGGGACGTTATTCATTCTCAGACTCAGAATCTTCATTTGTAAAACGGGGATAATCTGACTGACCTCATGGGGCTGCTGAGAAGATGAAATAGACAATCTCTGGAAAACACAGCACAGCGCCTGGCACAGACATATTAACTCTAGTGTTAGCACTTCTCAGTGCACACAGTGGGGAGTTTAATTATATAGGCAGTTCTCCAACGACATGAACTCTGAGGGCAGGGATGGTGTCTCATGCTTTCCTTCATATGGAGCTGGACAGGATAAGCTAAATAAATAATGGGTTGATTTGAGGTCAGCCCCACATAATGTGTGGCAACATGGCCCAAATAAAGAACGGGGGGCACCTGTGTAGCATGAGCTGGAGTGTCCTTGTAAATCACCCGTGAGTCCTCTCACATGGGGAGGATTTCATTTTGGGCCCAAGAGAGCTGCTTTCCTTGGCTGTGTGGATCTTTGAATTTATGTATATGTATAGTAAAGCCTGTTTGGAATTTATACCACCTGGAGGCACAAATTACCTTTAGTTCTTGCTATCAGAACTCTTTAGCACCAACTGAAGCCTGGATAGTATCCCTCAAACAGCCCAGTGTCTTGCCAGCTGCGAGGGGAGACTAAGAAGCATGGGTTCTGGGAGCTTGCAATCTGTGGTGGGGGTCCCCGCTCTGGCCGGCTCCTCCACCCGCCACCTCACTCATGTCAACTTTTTCTGCCCTGGCTTCCCTGATCAGCATGGCTCCTGTGTGCAGTTTCAGGCTGGCCTGCCTGTCCAGCTGGCGGGTCCATGCGGGGCTGGTCAGCCACAGTGTGGTCAGGCCCCATGAGGACCTGTGGTGGAGAGGGTCATCCCCCACCCTCTACAGTGCCCGGAATTACAACTACGACGTTGCTCTCCTACGGCTCAATTTCTCAAGTGAGGTGCTGGCCCTGGGCGGCAGGTGCAGGCTGTGGTGAGAGAGAGGCACACGCTGGGAGGGCCGGCAGCGGGGCTGACTTCTGAGGGTTCCTCCTAGCGCTGTAAACGGTAAAGTGTTCAGTGCATTTGGTGACATGGTGAACTTCAGCATCGACTGGACCTGATGTTGCACCAACTCTCCCACCTGCTCTTGTGGGGACGGAGGGCTGGCCCTTTTCATGCTGGGCTGCGGTGGGATTTGCCTGGAGGTCCTTAGAAGAGCTTTGCAGTTGTTTCATCTACCAACAGCCGCTCCACCCCTGTCTGCAGGCGTGTGCCAGGTCCCAGCCAACAGTGGCATGTTACAATTAATAAGATTTCTTCTATTTTTCCAAATATTCTTCCACTCATTCCTCATAACAGTCCTGTCAGGTAGATGAGGCAGGTACATACAGCTAGGACACCGCGTTTAGTGAGGGAAGTGACTCTCAAGTCCATGTGACTCCAGGGCCAGGGCTCCTCAGCACACATGTGCACAAGCACACTCCCCAATAAACACATACACTCACACAGTACATGCTCATGCAACTCACTTCCATGCACACGCACATTCCCACGCACACACGCTCACACCATAGACACGCACAATACTCCATACACACTCAAGCACACTCCCATGCACACACACACCAAACACACTCACTCCATACACATTCATGTGCACACACTGACAAACACTCAGCACTCCTCCATCCCACTGCTACCTGTACCCTGGGGTTTCCCGAAAAGAAGTTGTTGCTGTATTTTTTTCATATTATATGTGGGTACTCTCTGAGCTGTTGTTCAAGAGTGACTGTTTCTAAATTGACTTAAATATACTTGAGAGGAGAACTTTACGTTCTTCCCTGACTGGAGAGCCAGTGTTACTTCCAGTGAATAGATCGCCACAAAGCACACACAGGGCAACAGAACAGTGTTCTGGCTCCCGCCAGGGGCTGCCAGCAGAACTGCTCGGCCGGGCCTGCTCTCTGTGTTTCAGTGCAGGGTGACAGGCATTGAGAGAGGCACAGAGGGGCACCGGATGGAGTCTTTCTCCTGGAGGTGGTTGGAGAGAAAGGGAGCTACTCTCTCCCCAGGTGCCTGTGTTTCGTTAATGCATGCCTGCATTCTACCTGAGAACATGTGTGGGCTTCACCTGTCGGGCATTTTGGGAACAATTCCCCAAGAAGCCAAAACACCCTGGGGAAAACCCCAAATGAGTTCACAGAAGGACAAGCTGGGTACAAACACCCAGGAGAATTTGCACTTTTCCTCAGTGCCCGGGTGGGGGGTGTGCAGCCTGTACTCAGCCCTAGAGGGCGCCATGCCACTGCACTCCACATCATCCTTTGTGTGAGTGGGATCCTCGAGGTGGTACAGGGCACAACCCACACAGCCCCCCAGAGGCCTGGCTGGTGGAGACCAAGAACCAGGACTGTTTGAGAAGGGAGGAGGACCTGCCAGCCCTGGCAGTCTCCCCTGTGTGGGTCTCTCTGAGAGAATAACCCCTGAGTTTGCCCTAAACTCAGGCCCTTTACTTCTGCTCTCCTTGTTCCAGCAGTGCCCAGGCCTCAGTATTCGGGGTGCATGTTGAGTGAGGTCTACTCCTCCTCTTTACTCCCAGCCCCCAAGTCTTGGGGACACTGTGCTCCAAGGCCTCTGAGTTCATGGGCCTCGCTTTACACCCTGCAGCCTTGCTCTGTGCCCCCTTCATCTTCACGTCTGCCTCCCGCAGCCCATGGCTGGGACACGCTGCAGGACACGGTAGTGCTGCTGCTCAGCACCCAGCTCTGCAACAGCTTCCATGTGTATAATGGGGGTGCCCCCCGGTGCTGTGTGCCAGCTACCTGGACAGGAGGGCTGATGCCTGCCAGGTGTGGCAGCAAGGGGGCCAAGGAGGAAGGTGGGGGTGGGGTCTTGCTGTGGCTGGGTCCCTGGTCTGAGCAGCCAGTCTAGGAGGCTGAGGCAAGACGGGATCTATGCTGGAAGCAGGAGCGGCCAGAATGGAGGGTCTGCTCCCCGGGAAGGCCTGGTGCCCCTTCACCTGGAAGGACTGACTGCCTGTTTCTCTGGTCTCTGTGCTTGGACCCCTCAGGGGGATATCGGGTGGGGGGAGGGGGAGGCCTGGTGTGCCCAGATGG